GAAACAAGAGGAGGAAGAAGGCCTTCTCTGAATCAAGGGAAGAACCAGTTTTACACCATCAGCTTGCCGGTTGAGCATTTCCTAATGTCAAGTACAGTACCCAGTGCTGAGACAGGTGATTTTAATTTATGGAAAAATGCCTATCAAAGAACCAGTTTTGTTGGATGTTGGGCCAAGATGGGCCACTGAGTCACAGCTGAGAAGATGCTTCAGGTAGAGGGAGGGGCACCTGCCATTTTGCTGGTTTCCTTGAAGAGAGTTGGGGAAGAGATGGAGGCTAAAAACATATGAGGAACGGTTGCAGGAACTGTGTATGGCTAGTCTAGGGAAGAGAAGGACCAGGGGAGACAGGATAGCATCTTCCAATATTTGTGGGGCTGCCACAGAGAGGAGGTGCTCAAGCTATTTTCCAAAGCACCCAAAGGCCAGACAAGGATTAATGGATGGAAACTGAACAAGGAGAGATTCAACCTGGAAATGAGGAATTTTCTGACAGTGAGAACAATCAACCAATGGAACAGAAGTTGCTTTTAGAAGGTGTGGGAGCTTCATTACTTGAGACTTTCAAGAAGAGGCTGGACTGCCCTCTGTCAGAAATGGTATAGGGTCTCCTGCTTGGAAGGGGGATTAGACTAGATGACCTACAGGGTCCCTTCCAACTCTGTTAATCTGATCATTGGCCTCGGTTGCCCTTCCAGGCAAAGTGGTGGGCATCCTGCAGAAGAACTGGCGTGAGTACGTGGTCACTTTCCCATCCAGGGAAGAGAATCAGTTGCACAGCAAAAACGCCCAGAAGGTTCTTGTGACCCCATGGGATTACAGGATCCCCAAAATCCGAATAAGCACTCAGCAGGCCGAGGCATTGCAGGTGAGCAGTTGTTTGGCCTTCAACATTCCCTCAGAGTCCGTGTTTTTTGTGTGTGTGTGAAGATATTTTCTGTTCTTCTGACACCTCTGATATGGTTTTGCGTCAGGATTTCCGGGTTGTCGTGCGTATAGATTCTTGGGAATCCACCTCGCTGTACCCCAACGGACATTTTGTGCGGGTTGTAGGCCGGATAGGCGACCTCGAAGGAGAAATAAAAACAATTCTGGTGGAGAATACCGTTTCGGTTAGTCCTTTCTCTGAGGCCCAGGTAAGCTTTTGTTGTTCTTGTTCTTCTTTGGTTACATTAAATTAGATTAGATTAGAATAAGGGTAAATGTTCCCTTCGCACATATGTGCTAGTCGTTCCCGACTCTAGAGGGCAGTGTTCATCTCTGTTTCAAAGCCGAAGAGCCAGTGCTGTTCGAAGACGCGACATGGTGATTTTAAATTAAAAAGTTAAATCAAATTTAGAAATTAAATTAAATTTAGAAATCAAATTAAATTTAGAAATCAAATTAAATTTAGAAATCAAATTAAATTTAGAAATCAAATTAAATTTAGAAATCAAATTAAATTTAGAAATTAAATTAAATTTAAAAATAAAATAAAATTTAAAAATAAAATTAAATTTAGAAATCAAATTAAATTTAAAAATTAAATTTAAAAATTAAATTAAATGTAAAAATTAAATTAAATATAAAAATTAAATTAAATGTAAAAATCAAATTAAATTTAGAAATTAAATTAAATTTAAAAATAAAATAAAATTTAAAAATAAAATTAAATTAAATTTAAAAATTAAATTAAATTTAGAAATTAAATTAAATTTAAAAATTAAATTAAATTTAGAAATTAAATTTAATTTAATTTAAAAATTAAATTAAAATAAAAA